TTGGATTTATTTCATGATTTTTGACATGTGTGATTCACAGATACAGTGGAATTGTAAACTCTGCACTCTGGAAAACAAGCCTGCAAGTAACCGATGCAGCGCTTGCCTCACACCCAGATTTCCAGATTCGCCAGACAAGAGCCAACTCCATTCACAATCCGAGGCCCCTTTGCAACTGCAACAAAACCACTCTGAGGAAAGACGGTTGCCCTGTTCTTCGCCTTTTACGCCACTGTCTTCCCCATGCACCCCTTCCAGTACCACCAGTTCTCCTGAGACAAGAGTGCCTGGCCAGAAACATGATCTCAAGGATGAAGAACATCCGAGCAGTAGCTTGCAAAGGTGATTTCTCATTCTTGTTTTTTTCCTGTTTTCTTCTTGGTCTTTATTTATCTTTCTGTTAATTTTTTCATTGGGTTTCAAAGGGAATTTTCATATGAATGTTTCTCCTATTTTCTAATTCTTCTCCTACTTCTCCATCTTCCTCATCCTCTGCTTCTCCTCCTCCTCCTCCTTCTTCTTTTGTAAGCTTTCCTTTCACATTTTCTCTCTCTTTTTCTTCTTTCTTTTTATTGCTTTAAATTCCATTGTGCTCCTAATCTTCAGGCTGTTGTCTAGAATCCTTGTTATTTTATTAATAAGTTTGGTATCAATTTATATGCAGAAAATCCCTGATTACCATGGCATGTATATTTACTGGCAGTTTCTCAGTTGTGAAAAGATGAAAATCAGGAAGAAATTGATGTGTTCCAAAAATACTATTATTTAACTTCCAGAAAGTACAAATTTAGAAGGCTCAGCAATTCCCCTGCAAGTCTCCCAAGCACCCCACCACCAGTGTCCCAGTTGAATGCAGCACTTGTTAACACACCAGTAGCTCCCCAAGCAAGAAATCACAGAATTCTTGCTTTTCCCACAACCAAGACAAGTGGTAAGATCAAGTTGTTCTGAAATTTAGTACAGTTGTACAGAAAACAATTGAGAGAATGATGATTTTTTTTTTATATGTTTTGTTTAAGTGGTTTCTCACAAAATATCCAGATAAACTGAAAGCTGAGAGAGAAGAAGCACCCATTTTGTGTTCTGGCCACAAGCTTCCAGCACGTAAATTGAGAGCGGAAAAAAGTGCTGAAAACAGAGGACGAATCTTCTATGTGTGTGACTTACCAAAAAAGAACCAGTGTAATTTCTTCATGGTAAGACTGCATTTTTAACCTATAATGACCTAGTTAGTCTTATGCAATGTATATCATTTGTGATTGTATATAAGACCAGTATATGAAGTTTGGAATACATTGCCGCTTTACTGTAATGGAAATTTTAAAAAATATTTGTTGTTGTTTTTTCAGTGGGGAGATGCACACCATCCTCGCTGCGGTCATGGGAAAATAACCATCATCCGTGAAGTATTGAAGCAGAATGCCAATAACGGTAGAGAATTCTACTGCTGTCCATTTCCAAAGACTAAGCAGTGTGACTTTTTCCAATGGGTTGATGATATCAAAGCAAAATAGATCAGTAGCCAGAATTTTTGTTTTTGTCTTAGGGCCAAGACAGCAAGATTACCATCCAGCTCAGTGTAATACTGGAATAGGGGCATATTTTATCAGTTATGATAGTGTAAGTCAGTGGAAAATTTGTCCCTTATTTTTATGACTGAGGTATCTCAATTAGTGACTTTTAGAGACATAAAATACTAGAACTTTTTCTTTTGTTGGAAGAGAACTTTTTATATATGATTACTATATCCATGTATGTTATATGATTTTATTTGATAACTAAATTTATAGTTTGAAGAAAACTTTTTATATGTGATTACTATATCCATATATGTTATATGCTCTTATTTGATAACTAAATTTATAGCTTTAAATTTTGTAATAATATTTCTTTTAATTCTAACAAAGAAATTATAGCAAAGATTTAAAATGTCTTTCATTCTGGTAAAGTTAAACAACCTAAGTGTAAGGAAAGAAAGGAAAGTAGCACCACTTGCTGAGAACAAGATCAGTTGTATCTTCACAGTTGTAAGGTAGTCAGTGAACTGAGTAATTATTTCACAGACACGCACAGATAATGATACTTTAGAAACAAAATTGATGTTTTTACTGAAATGTCACATTACATTTGAGGTGAATCATCTGAAGCTTTTACTGCACAAAATCAGACATTTAAGCAAAAACAAATATAGCTGATAACCAATATTTTAGCTTAATTTCTTCTCTTTAAAAAAAAGCAAAATACCATTGTTCTCAAAATTACCGGTGCCACAACGCAACACTCACAATAGTCGAACTGAAAAGCAAGTTTTTTGGAAAAGAATTGTAGGACAGAATCTCCAACTATTTAGTGTCCTGTAAGTATTGAGCACATTCAAAGGTTAAGTTTATTACTTATGATTATCTCATTTTCCTGATGATTTCAAAACACATTTAGAGAAAGTAAGATAACCAAGTAAAAAAGAATAGGTTAAATCTAAAATACGCAATGAAGCATACAA